CAATGCATGTTCACACACTGCTGACTTCGACGCGCGCCTATTTTTGACGTCTGAGATGTGTTCCTTAACCCTTGTACCGATGCTTCTCTTTGTCTGTCTAATGTATGAGCCACAGTCACAATCAAATCTCAATAGTGCTATTTACAAATCACATAAGAAAGCGAGTCAATTCTTGAGACCAATCAAGAGTAACATTCCTTTAAAACAAGCGGGTGTATATAAACTTGATTGTATTATAAGCAATCAGCTTACCACTGTCATTATTTATAAAAGAACTACCCACACGATTGTTTATAAAAGAAGCATTCAAACCGCCACGCGTCACTTGTCGCTTGGCTCTTGGCGATCGTAATTCAAACACCGGTTGTGTAGTTTTGTTAAAGCGTTTAATAATTATTAAGTTTAGGATTTTGTTCTTTCTATTTAAATAATTTTGTTGTTAAAATTACTTTTCGAGACTAAATAACTAGGTCAAGTGTTGAAATTGTTTCTTTTTTTAATATATCTGCTTCTCATTTCTAAAAGTATTATATTACAAAATTATTATGCGGACGTCCATGGGCGACGGTACTACCTCCATCAGGTAGGCTGTATGCTCGGTTGCCCTCTTTACTATAAAAAAATCTTCATTGAATGATGCTATACTAGTTACAATAAGCAAAATATTGCTCAATAGGAAATATATATAATATATTAACTAAGTATATAATGGAAAACCACATACTTCCTGCTTTAATACATGATTCATATTATTATCATCACCAACTAATAACTTCATTTAAATATTTTACATTCCATTTCACGCTTCAATCAATTTAATTTTAATACTTAATTTTTTATTAATACTCTTTATAGAACGCGTAAAGGCGGAAGGTAATCAATTTATCTCAGTAATTAATAAAAGGAAGTAAAAAAAATTTGGAACTTTAAAAATTAAGTATCAAAGACTAATTATGATACTAATTGGATGATTATACTTTGTAGATTACGAAAAATTTATATTTAAAACTGATCTTATATCAGTACGAAGTATATCTATCTACTTTTTTTACTTATACTAGGAAACTAAGTCAGAACATTTGAAAAACAAAGAGTAAATTTAAAATAATATCAATAATAAACATTTTTGATATTTTTTTTTCTTAAACACTTTTAAACTGACACAGTATTTGACGTTTGGGTTGAGATTTGTGTATACATAAAGAAGAAATATACATGTTTGATATACATATAGACTAAATAAATATAAGAAAATATTTCTTTATGTGAAATATAAAAATAAAAATATAAAAAATAATAAAGAAGTATTTAATCAGTGATGGACTTAAAAATACACAATTTAAAACTTCGCATCCACTCAAACTTTAACAAACTCTAATACTTTTTGAGTAAAACCTTTATTCAACTCATTTTTAGCTGAAATTAAACGAGTAATCTCTATTCCACAATTTGTATACACAACCGCAATTTACTAAGGAACTACGAATTCGGAATGAATAAAACTTACATTATTTAAATGCTTGTAGTATAAATAAAAGTCGAGTATGATGCATTTAGTTGTAATAATAATTATGAGAGCTTATATAAAACGAGAATATTTACGTTACTTATTTGTTTTCAACTAATATGTACCGTTACGAGTTCTCATAGTCAAATTAAACAAAGCCAATTTAATTTTTTTTCATACATTTATCTAAACTCTCTTCTTTAGTTTATTTTTATAAGTAAATATATTTAATCTGTATATGAGATTTCACAATGATAATTCGCTGTAAGATATATTGTAATTTAAGAGTTATTAGTTAAGTCGAATTGTCATACTCACTATATGTATGTAATCAACTTATTATTTGAATTGACAAAAGTTTACAGTCTTTGAAATCTCAAAACTTGTGTTAGGCTCCTCATGAAATACAATATATGATACATAGTTATTAAAAAATATATATTTTATTATAAAATGTATACCTATGTAAGTTTGACACTGCCAAATATAATTTTAATTTTAAAAAGATTTTATCAAATAATTGCTGGACCTGGGACAGTGCCCTTAAATTGTATTTAATTAACGATTTTCGTCATGTTTAACTCATGTTTATTGATTTCCTGATTCATTTGATATTTGAATGTATTATTTATAGACATAAATGAACAAAGTATATAAGATTTAAAGGTCAATTATAATAAAGTAATATCGAAGTTCATAAATTAATTTAGCATCAAAAGTCAAAGGCCAATGGTTCGAGCAAACAGTTTTACCTAAGTCTGCTAATGATATTAATGATATTTAATATTGTTTCCCTATTTTATTTTTTACCACTTTTAAGACGCTCTCGTATAACAATGTATGACAATTGACATCTAAATGTTTTCAAAGATATAACTATTGTATGTTTTGGTATACGCCAAAGACTTAAAAGAACCTCTCTTTTTGCATTCATAAATAATTTTGTAAGATTGCTTAAAGGGGCAACCGAGCAGACGGCCTACGTGACGGAGGTAGCGTCGCCCATGGACATCCGCAATAACTCTTATATTGCGGATTTGTCGCCACCCTTGATTAGAGAAGAGGGGGAGGAATAAGTGGAAAAGGACGGGAAAAAGAAGGGGGTAGGAAAGGATGGGAAAACGAAAAGGACAACCGGCTCTCTCACTCATCGGACGAAACTCAGCCGTTAAAGACTAAGTAAGTACTTCTGTGAGAGGATGGTACTTCTCCGGTCGAGCCAGCCCCTCATCGAGCTGCAGTCACTTGACCACAGCTAGGTTCTATCAACTACAATAAATACAATACTACTTATTTTGAAAATTTCTTGCCATTTTGTTTTTTTTTTTTGTCTTCTGACATACATAAAGCCAATCACGTACCTACAAATTAAGAACCTACTTCCTTAGTTTAAAGCAAACTTATAATATAACGCTATCGGGGTCCGATACATAAGACCGATGAATATACCGTAGTCTTTTTCACAACATCATGGATAGACATTTTCATTACGTATTTAAAACTAAACTGACACTTTAATTACAAGGTGCAGTGTATGTATATGTATAAGGGCGACATCAGGTTTAATTAAAGATGTATTCAGCAGCCTAGGTGTTTTAGTAAAATACGCCGTCCAGCTAAAGGCGTCTAAATGAGTGGCTAATTTAACCGTTTTAAGTTAACATATACTATATTACAGGATCTGATTTCACTTTTGAATTGTTTGTACTTTTTTGGTTGTTTAGATTTTTATTTCATTACATACTTTTTAAATTGTTTACTTGACTGCAAATATTTTATTTGTTATATATTTTATAATTGAAGTCACATTTTTGGATAAATATTTATCACGGTCATAGCAAAATTTTCTTCGGATAAAGATAATTATAGTCAGCCACCTAAAGTATCTGTATCCTATGTACGTCATTTCCTCCCCCTTGCGTCGGTTTCCTCAATGCTGAGGGTCGCGACGTTAAAAACATTGTAACCAGAGAAATAAAAGATACTGCCGTTAGAAGTTTGAAAATGCCCCTGTACCTACACTCACGTGAGTTTCACTTAGGCCTAATATTGAGTTGCTATGGGCCTTGGCCTCTCTCTCCAATAGACAATTTTCCTGATTGCAGCAGTCCGCGGGTGTTCCATGTTCCTATACGGTGTTCATTTCGGAGTGGTAATTTATTGGAGAAGATTTCTTTTCCATTAATGTCACGTAAACTTGTGGATATTGCGTTGACATCTGTTTAATTAGCTCAAAAGTACTATTTAACTATTTACTCTGTCTGAGCGTAAGTACACTTTACATACAAAAATCTAGTGAGAGATTTTTTGAATTATCGTCTGCCAAGACTAATATGTAAATTCTGTTAAGACTTCATGTAGCTTCTATCATCTATAGAGGTGATAAGGAGGCTTCTATAATATCGAAGTTGCTTTTTAAATTAATTAATTTAATTCAATTATAAAAATAACACCTTCAATCCATACGTTCTACTACTCATATTTGAATGATACTATTTTCTGAAACGATCGTTGTATTTTTTAAAACAACTATATGTAGTAAAAAGTTTTTACATGCATTTATATTGTAAGTTTAGTTTTTATAACATTAAAGAAATTAATCTTTTTTTTTCATTTGTACTATCGAAAATGAAATCGATTATGTAGCTTAACATATTTTTCGATCTCCATTTGAAATACTTGTCTCAAATTTTGTGAATGCAATTGTTATTTTTACTTTAAAATAAAAGCAGCTTAATACTCATATCAACGACCTCTATTGCCTTTTTGTTGTAAAATAAATGAGTATTGCAATATTTTTTTTAGAAATGTCGTAAAGACTATAAAGTTTAATTTGCTTTTGAGCTATTAAAGAAGAATAATAATCAAGAAATGAAAAAGACAATAAATAATACAATAACGTATAATAAAAATTTTAATATGATTCAGAAAAACATAACAATATTTTTGGTAGGTACATATTAAATAATATTTTATAATCATAAACGTAATACTAATTGTGTATATAAGATTCCATTAGGGCTATATAATTAGTTGCTCTAAGTTATTCTTAAAACAAATAATGTTTGAGATCGTTCGCCTCTTTTACAATGCATTAGAACTTATATTTAGAGTCGTCGACTTTAATTTCATCTCTGCAATATATTTCTGAGGAACCCTTAAAAAATATATTTAACAAATTTTCTAAACATATCAAGATTACATATTTTTTACATATAATAATAATAAGTTAATCAACCTAAAAAAATTAAAACAATTAAATTTGATACATATCTCACATCAATTCCTATCAATAAACAAGAACATGTACATCATTTATCTTTTTCTTCTACCTGCTAATTGCATTTACGACCGGCCGCCTGCCTGACATCAAGCCTCTTTGGGAATACATTAATCAGTGATGTCTAAATAATCTAAAAGTACATATGACTCGGAAAAATCACATTGGTACCCGAACATTTACATTTATATAATACATACAATAAACGTACAGTCAGACAGTAAAGTTTACATATTTCTTATATAGCTCCTGTGATTCCTGCGGCACGTGTATTTCCCCTGTTGTCCTCCGTACATACTCCTGGTATACCAGCCTGTCGCTCCTTGAGACGGTCGGCGGTATCACGTCCACGGAACTATCTATAGTGAAGGCACTTGATACAGTCATAACTACCGGTATGTCAAGCTTGTATTTGGGATTTGAGCGACGCTCGAAATTCACGTAGCGCTTGTATCTGTAATATAAATAGATTATTTTTTGAAAACCGTAAACGAATCTATCACACGCCCGTAATCGTAAACTAATCTAACATGCAAACGTTATCGTAAAAGAATCTAATACACCCGTTTTCGTAAACGAAACTAATACACCCGTTATCGTAAACGAATCTAATAGACACACGTTATCATAACAAAGTCTAACACACAACCGTAATCATAACTCAATCTAACACACAGCCGCTACAGTAAACGAAACTATCACACCCGTTATCGTAAACGAATCTAACAGACACACGTTATCATAACTCAATCTAACACACAACCGTTATCATAAAAGAATCTATCATATAACCTTTAAGCAAATTATATACACCCGTTAGCTTAAACGGATCTATCACACAATCGTTATCGTAACAGACGATCGTCGTCATCAGCCTATCAACGCCCACTGCTGAGCAGAGGCCTCTTTCTCACATGGAGAAGGTTTGAGTATTAATCACCACGCTTGCTCAAGACGGGTTGGTGATTTCAAACTTAATTGTGAAATTATAAGTCCAGGTTTCCTCACGATGGTTTCCTTCAACGTATGTCAGTGGTGTCTAAATAATCTCAGAAAGTACATGACTCCGAAAAATCACATTGGTACTTGCCAGGTATGAACCCGCGCCCTCGGCAACGAGAGGCGGACCCTTTAATCACTAGGCCACCACTGACTCTACAGACGACAGACGATCAGATATTCCTTATCCGAAACAAAATTATCAAATTTCTAATATTAAAAAGAAAACGCACTCTCAATACCGATAGTCTTCATACATTCAGTATTAAACATAATATGAGACTAACAGCAACATATCTCGTTTGCAGGGTTCATTGACCTGCACCCTCGTGTGTCTCTTGATGGCTGGGAACAGCGGAGGCTCTTCATCCACTTCGCACGCTTCAAGGAGTTTGACGATCTTCGTGACAGGGGAAGTGACCGTCTGACGGGAACTAGGACTCCAAGTGAGATCGTCATCTGAAGTTGAGTCGCTGTTTGAACTGAAATGTAATGTATATTATATACCATGTATATTAATATATATTTATCGACGATATCAGCATTAATGTTACATGCAAGATTAAAATAACTCGAGGCTGCCATCTATTATTATTAAGAGTTATTACTATTCATGATTATTATTAAAATTAAAATGAAATCAAACTGTTTGAAAGGAAAATAGGACTCCGTTTGAATTTTGGTATAAAAACGACGATTGGATGGCAGGGGTGATGAGTGAGTGCGGATCATTGAAGAATGTGATTATGAAAAATCTTACAGAAATACGAGGATATTTAGAACGTACTAAAAGTGACAATAGTGACGTCAGCAACGTTCGCGCCTCTCTTTAGAAACAACGAATTTGTATTAAATTCGATATACATATATTCAATAATCATTAAGCTATGAAGTCCAGACATAGTTGAGAGTAAGTAAATAATTTTTTTTATTGTTTACTAGCTTTCCACCCGCAGCTTCGCCCGCGTGGAGTTCGGTTATATCGGGTTTCCAAGAGAACCTTTCAAAAGTCTGGTATAAAAACTATCATATGTTCTTTCTCAAGGTCAACTCTATCTTTGTACCAAATTTCATTAAAATCAGTTCAGATGTTTAGGCGTGAGAGCGTAACAGACAGAGTTATAATATTAGTAGGGATTTATAATGCCTATGTGTTATTTCTGGACGTCAGCTTGCTGTATACAAAATTTTACCAAAATCGGTTCAGCCGTTTGACCGTGAAGAAGTAACAAACATACACACACACTCACAAACTTTCGCAATTATAATATTAGTAGGACAATATGTATGTACTAACTCGCTTGAGTTATTAGATGTAGTGCTAGATCGTCCGCTTATGACTGGGTTTTTGGAGCTGGGTCCTTTAACACCGCGCCCTCGTACCACGAACGGGCTTAAGCTTTCCAATCCGCCTGGAGCCAGGTCTCGAAGTGTGTGGTACATCTGGAACGTAGTATAAGTTTAGATGTACTATATTTAATACTAGCATAAATTTAAATTTATATGCAAAACCCACAAAACCCTTCTAGATTAGGCTGGCTAGGAGTTTGGCTAGGAGACCTCCAGATTACTTCTTCTTCTACCTGGCAATTTCCCAGCTTTAGCCAGTCTGCCTTACATGTTGTGTATAGTTTTGACTGCTTGTTTTTACGGCCTGCCTGACATCAACCCTCTTTAATGCATTAATCAGTGGTGTCTAAATACTCTTAGAAAGTACATATGACTCGGAAAAATCACCTTGGTACTTGCGCGGGCCAGGATCGAGCATGAGAGGCGGGCCTTTTAACCACTATGCCATAGATTACTGACAGAGACTAAATCAAACCCCTACTATTTACCTTAAACTCGAAGCAGCCCTCGAACACGGTGTACTCGAACGGCCTCGTGTACTCGTGGTAAGGGTCGACCATTTCTAGCGCGTCTCCTTGTAAGCCGATGATCTCACAGCACAGCTTCCTCATCTCATTGGTCGGTCGAGGGAGATAGTGCAGCACTTCGTCGTCCCACCACTTTGTAAGAGATCTGATAATTTCATATTTAATTGTTGACCATAGACAATTATTAAATTAAATATTAAAGATGAGTTCACTTATAAAACATTTTGATAGAGAAAACTATTTACTTCCAAAATTATACAACGTGTATACATATATTTTTTATAATTGTATATGAACACTATAAAATTATACAAAAATATTATATAAAAATATATTATTATATTAGAAATTATAAATCACACCTTTTTTTTATAAACCAATTTTCATTTCGTCCATGGGCGATGGTAACTACCTGCATTAAGTACGTCGTATGCTCGTTTGCTGCCTTTACCACAAATCCTACTAATATTATAATTGCGAAAGTTTGTGTGTGTGTGTGTATGTTTGTTACTTCTTCACGCTCAAACGGCTGAACCGATTTTGAAAACAGGAAGCTGACCCCCAGGAATAACACATATGCTACTTTACATCCAGGAAACCGCGGGGGCAGCTAGTAAATTTATAAATTCCCTGCTATAATTAAAATATTTACCGTCTACTAGGTATATAGACCATAGTTTCCGGATGATGCAGATAGTAATCCGTAGGGTATTCCCATATCGCTGGCTTGTTGGGTTCCGGCAGAAACAAACCCAGGAACAGATTCATGGTGTTCTGTTTCTCAGCGTCCGAGAACGTGTTTGAATAATAACGACTCAAAGTCTGCATTATGTCATTACCGTGAGAGGACCACGGCGCTGTTTTTCTGTACGTTTTAATCCTGTAAAATTATAAAATTCATATACATATCATATCAAAATATTTCTTAAAAGCGAATTCGCTTAATCGCTAATAAAAAATTATTGAAACATAACCAAATCAGTTTTTAATTTGTTTTGTTTTGGAGAAACAAAGGGAAGGGCCGTCGATTAGATACCGCCTTTTTGGACGTCATTTAATGGAATATATATTTATAATCATAAGTCAGTGGTGGCTTAGTGGTTAAAAGGGTCCGGCTCTCGTGCATGAGGGCGCGGGTTCGGTCCTGGTAAGTACCAATGTGATTTTCTCGAGTCAGATGTATTGAAGAGTATTTAGACACCACTGACATACGGTGAAGTAAAACCGTGAGGCAACCTGCACTTATAGTTTCACAATTATAAGTTTAAAATCACCAATCTTGAGCAAGCGTGGTGATTAATGCTCAAACCTTCTCCATGTGAGAAGAGGCAGCTCAGCAGTGGGCTCTGATAGGCTGGTGATGATATTTATAATAAGAGGTAGACAATATTAATTAATATACCTATGAACCAGCTGCGAACCTCCATACTGCAACGCTAACGTGTCCCCGTGATCTTCATAAAGACCTTCTAAAAGACGGACACAGTCAGAATCAAACTCTATTACCGGCTCCTGGATCAATCCCAACGCATGTAACTGAAAAATACCATAAACAATAATTAAATAATCACACATACATGAATTCGAAATGTATACCATAGACTACGCCTTTTTTAATTAATAATCATACAAAAAACAATACAAGGATGCATTTAGAATGCTCGAATATTTTAACTCTCTTTTAAATTAAATTAGAGATAAGAGAAATAAAATTATGTATTGATATTTCGTATCATACATCTCAGCCAACATTTTAACATTTTCCGTAACCATAGAGTTGTTGAAATTGGTGAAAATAATACACATGACTAAAATAGAAAAAATATCATGTGTTTATTTAATACTAGTCTTTGCCCGCGATTTCGTCTGCGTCAGTTACATGACTTTGTTCCTCTTTAAAGACAATAGACAAAAAGATGTATTGTAGATGATCACCCTATTTTTTTTCACTCGGATGAAATTATCATATGTGCTTTTCCTTGCTAAGCTATTTTTCCACCAATTTTCCAGCCAAACCCAAACAGCGGTTCTTGAGTTATAAATAGTGTAATTTAACACGAATTTCTTTTATATCCTTCTAATATTATAATTGCGAAAGTGTGTGAGTGTGTGTGAATGTTTGTTACTTCTTCACGCTCAAACGGCAAAACCGATATTGATAAAATTTTGTATACAGGAAGCTGAACAGGAATAACATATAGGCTACTTTACATCCCGGAAAATGTTCGACCTGATAATCCGCGGGTAACACCGCGGGGCTCAGCTAGTACAAACCTGATGCGCCAACACGCACTTCCCAATAGCGAACTGAGCCGTGTTAGTTCTATCAAGACAGTCCACACAGTTGACCCGCACGAGGCCGGTCTGCAGGCGACCCTTCTGATGACCCTCGACCCCCATTTCCTCGCCATAACTCTTACAACTCAAGAATATGCCGGTGCGACGAACCACTGTACGAGCTATCGCTGATAACCTGTCAATACATGTTTTATTAATCATTATATACATTTTACATATACAGGGTGACTGGTGAATTACTATCGATACTTGAGGACGTGATATTTGACGATCATATATGTCAAAATAAAAATTAATATGATATAAATATTAATAAACTTCTAAGTAAAGTTAACCAAAAGTTATGTAATTAATTACGCATCGTGTGAACACCCTACAGATTAGGTATACACACACTCACACATACGCGCGCGGCGGCGTAGTGTTGTATCAGCACGCCGCCACACGCGTCCTCACTTGGAACACTTGGAACGTGTCAACACTTTATTTATTTATACGGAAATTTGGTCAAAAATTAAGTGCCTATTTTTTTTACATAATTCGAATGAAAATCATGTACCGAGTATTCTCCTTAAATATTGATAGTAATTCACCAGTCACCCTGTATATAACCAGCTTTCCGCCCGCAACTTCGCCCGCGTGGATTATGGTTATATCGCGTTTCCAAGAGAACCTTTCAAAAGTCTGAGATAAAAAATCCTATGTTCTTTCTCAAGGTCAACTCTATGCCTGTACCAAATTTCATTAAAATCAGTTCAGTGGTTCAGGAGTGAAAGCGTAACAGACAGACAGACAGAGTTACTTTCGCATTTATAATATTAGTAGGGATTCTTCTTTACAATATGTATATGTCATTGAAATCGTCCTAAACGTCAGGACCGATTTCAGTTTCAGTGGCACCTCAGATGGTTTAGATTCACAAATATGGCCAACAGATGGCGTTACAGACATTTATAGGTAATGAAAATTCTGCAAGGATCTTACTGTAGATATCGTTTTAACTTTTAACACACTTTATTTATTTTTCTGTAAGCGCAATTCGGACGTTCATTCGGGCGGAGTCGCGGGAAAATCTGTTATATATTATTATCTTGGTTTCTTATATGTCGCAACTACATATATAAAAAATATACATTTATTTTATCAACAAATTCATTTGATTACTTTTAATGGGAGCATTACCAGCTTTCAGCTTATGTAGCAAATAAATATAATTCCTACGCAAAATACCTAAATTCACAAAACCAAATATAAACCTTTGGGAGATAAAATTAGTCTTTTTTTTTTTTGTTATCGCGGTGAAGGGTTTTATACCTACCCCTCCGTCTAGGGGAGACAGAGGCGGTTATGTGGGATTCACGGCCAGAAGGGCCCATGTTACCCACTAAAACACCAGCGGTCACTCTCCGTTGCCGCCAAGTGGATCGCCACGGGAAACGCCGAAGCATGCATCCGCGACGATCCGGCGGCGGGCCGCGAACGGCCACCTCCCCCCCCGAGAGCTCACTCCAAGTGACCAGGAGTGTCCCCCCGCCTGGCGGGCTTGCTTAATCGCGAGAGGGTTAACCCCTTACCCCTCCCACCCAAGCCTACGCGGCCAGTCTCCAACCACCCACCGACGAGCGCAAGCGCCCGACGGCAGACAGAGAGGAAACCGACCGACCACAAGCGAACTCAGGCCTCCGGAGAGACCCGAGTATCCCCTCCCCCCCAAGACAGCCACGGACGGCCTCCTGCCAGATCCGTGACCGTCTTACTCCCAGGGCTGTACCCCCAGCCCTCCCCCCCGTGACTGATTGCACCGGAATACACCAGTGGGCGATGGGGTCGTCACGTCCCGACGCCGGGAGATAAAATTAGTCTTATTCAATGCTAATCAATATAAAAATAAACAATACAATATCTGTATTAATATCTAAATTTTCTTCATAATTATTAAAATTTCAATTACTTAGCAATTAATTTTGTAAATAGTTTGAAGGATTTACAGTGTAAACTCTATATAACGACACTGAAGGGACCGTGCATTTTAGTGCGTTATAGAGAGTTGCCGTTAAATAGAAAGAAGAAAAATCAGAATTAGAAAAAGACAAAGTTTATTTCAGACTAGTGTTAGTACTTATGTACATAAAAAAGAATGTTATAGTTTGAGATTTTGTGAGCAACTTTTTATGTTAACGTATAGGTAATACAAGACTCCTACTTATGGTCAAAAACCGTCGACACGTTTAAGCAATTTGTAATTGTAAACAAAAGAAAGAATTTCTTAGAAAGTTCGGTATGCATGATAGGGACAGTCGAGTTTATTGCGGGCTAGGATAACAAAGCGACAAAGGAACGTACACAGCTGCACAGTTTTTACTGATTTTAGCAACTTCAAAGGTACTTAATTGTTGTCGTTATTGAGAGTGGGTGTGCTATGTAGAGTGTATCATTGTATGGTAGACAATCGAAACCAACCAAAGTCAATTGATTTCGACGCTTTAGAGAGTTTGTCGTTAAATCGAGTGTCGTTATATAGAGTTTACACTGTATTTATATCATATTCGTGATATATTTAAATAAATTAAATATATTACTATTACAAAACATAATCAGTGTTGCCATATACTATCATACCTACAAATTAGACAATAATTAGTTCAACTTACTTATCAAGAACCTTTGCATCAGCGCCTTTATTCATCCTTGCCATATCCAAATGGAAATATTGTATCAGTTTATCGGGTGGTAGGAATTGGTTGAGGTATTTAACAGCATTACTGATAACATCCGTTAATAGAGATTCATGTTTTTTCTTCTCCCTCTTCTTAACAAGATTTAATATCATGATGGGTGAACCATATCTTTGCATCAAGTTGTTTATATGTTTTGCTGGAATTTCAGCGTATGGGTCACTACGATCTATCATGATGGCTGGCTTTGGGACCATCTTGGATATATCCTGTGACCAGAAACTGGGTATCGATCCTCTCATTTGTACAAACGAACTGAATCTGAAATTTTATAATAAATGATTATGAGATTTATTGTCCAATCCAGTACAGAAATTTATTTATTTCATTTTTAAGTCACAGTTACTTATAAGAAAATTTTAAACATCTTTAAAATTAAATGATTGAAGTAATAATAATAAACATATTAATAATATAACAACAGTTGCAATTGTCATAAGCCAATAAATATCATCCGCCCACTTCTCTTTACCTCATAATTCTTTGTTAAAAATGTAAAAGGACATGTTATACAATATAGACGAAATTTCAAAAACATGAAAGGATTCTTTTTTCATCAAGGACAGTACACATCAGACTATCAGTAATACACCACATAAATATTCAACAAGCATATCTTAACAACAAGGACCTTGAAATCTATACTAATATTATAAAGCTGAAGAGTTTGTTTGTTTGTTTGTTTGTTTGTTTGAAAGCGCTAATCTCCGAAACTACTGGTTCGAATTGAATAATTCTTTTTGTGTTGGATAGTCCAGTTATCGAGGAAGGCTGTGGGCTATATAACATCACGCTACGACCAAAAGGAGCAAAGATATAGTGGTAAATGTGTAAAAAACGGGAGAAATTATTTCATCTTTGAAAACTTCCGTTGCGTGGGCCGTGAAAACGGTTCAAGATACACAAAAAATATGTATTAAACAATAATAGCTCTTTTAATGATCTAAAAAACAGTCCGCGATAGTATATGTCTATCTTTTAAGATTAACTCACAAAAACCGTTTTTAAGGTACCTAATTTGGTCGAAATAATATGTTTAAGTTGTATAAACATAATAATATTAATCTTTATTCAAATAAACAAATAAATATGTTGTTGAGTAAGAAAACTTCATTGTGAATTTAAAAAAAACATAGGTTTTATCCTGAAAATTCTACCGGAACTCGACCATTCCGAAAACCCCGCAAGAACGGGAAGAACCAAAAATCTGCCGGAAGTCACTATTCCACGCGGACGGAGTCGCTGCAAAAGCTAGTTTGGAAATAATATGTCAGAGGCCCCACACTCGCTTAATCAGTCACTACAATAGTACTTGGCATAAATCAATATTACAGCCACGGGCAAAAGTATTAGGCACCCTACAGTAAGACAAGTTTTAGGGTGTTTTAGCATAGCGAGTGTAAATAAAACTGCATTTATGATTGCAATGGTTTATTTTAAGAAAATAATTAATATTTTGTAGGTCCACTTTTTGACTTAATAACCGCAGCCACTCTTTTTGGTATTGACTCTACCAGCCTGAAACATTCTTCTCTTGATATATTTTTCCATTCCTGCTGTTACGCGGCCAATAGAGCTTGTTTATTGCTAATCGAGTGTCTGCGGATATTTTTCTTTAAAATGGACCAAATATGCTCAATCGGGTTGAGGTCTGGTGATTGTGGTGGCCAGTCCAAAAGATCAATATGATTTTCAGCAAACCACTTCATGGTATGCGCGGACTTGTGGCAAGTGGCGTTGTCTTGCTGAAATTTCAGGCCATCGGTGTTTGTATCACCGAAAATTTGCGTTATCGACGTTGCTAGTGCTGTTTCCAGAACTTCAGTGTATTTAACACTATTCATTCGTCCCTCACACAACACCATTTCGCCCACTCCGTCGGCAGCCATGTAGCCCCAGATCATTATTGAGCCTCCACCATGCTTAACAGTGGGAACCACACATTCTGGGTTGTATTCTTCGCCAACCCTTCGCCTAACATAAGTCACACCGGGTGTTCCAAACACCTATGCCAAACGAAAAAAAAACCATTTATTTTCAAAGTTATTATTTTTCTTGCAGTACGTTATTTTAAAAACATTTATGTGTTTTAATATTGTACATAAAATAAATAACAATACCTCAAAGTTAGATTCGTCTGACCACAGTATGTTGGACCAATCTTCCACTGACCAATCTCTATGTTTGAGTGCCCACTCCAACCGATTTTTCTTATTGTGTTCTGACAGCCACGGCTTCTTCCTTGCTTTACATCCTTTTAATCCAGCTTTAAGAAGTCTTCTTCTCACAGTATAAACACTCACTGAGCTGCCTTTTGCCTCAGATAATGCTGCAGCGAGCTCTAAAGCAGTTTTTTTCCTGTTTTGTAGAGACTGCCTAATCAACAATCGATCTTCCCGTTCAGTAGTAACTTTTCTTCTGCCTGTTCTTGGTCTATTTTCATGGGTGCCAGTCTCTTTGAAGCGATTTATAGCATATTGAACTGCACATCGCGAGCACTTCACTTCTCGGGCTATTTTAACCTGAGACATGCCTTGTTCATGTAAAATCTTAATTCTTAGGCGCTGTTATGCACTAAGTTCAGATTTTTTCGGCATGATTAACACGTTAAATGTTAGTCTTTAGAATTGTGACAGGAATAGTTGCGTAGAAGACGTGTATGTTCACTGCAAGCACTGATAACACACTATAACCCGAAACGTAAAAAAAGCAAATTCGAAGAAACACCGCTTAGGAGCACACCTGGATGTCATAAATATTTTCTTTTATCTTAATTTGGTTAAAAATTGCCGCTAATACAATAGCTAAACTATAAAACACACACTTGACCGCTATCTAATGAGATAGTGACTAACAATAGTGGTGCCTAATACTTTTGCACGCAGCTGTATTAAACCTTATAGCATAAACAATTATATAACCATATTATATCTACCTGCCAGCTGAAAACGAAGATATCATGGCATCATACACAATTTGTTCTGTTTCTACTTCGTTAGCAACATCACCATACATGTTGGCCCCTCTCTTCAGAAATCTTGTTCCCGCATACCTATTACTCCTTCTGGCGATGAGTGTCAAATATATTGGTCGACCAAATATGTTCAAATTACTCTGTTCGATGAACCCATGAACTATATATAGAATCCAATCTGGATGTAATTGTGAGTGCACTACAGAAAGAAGATGGCTGTTCCATACAAATCTCCACTCAGGTACTGTTCGAACACCAAATTCCAATTTCTTCTTTTGTCTGAAATGTAAGCCACCAGTTATAAGTAACTAAACTTACAATTAATATTTTTATTTAAGTAAATTTTATTCTGTCATTAAGAAATCTGAAATTAAATAAAAGATCGTCATTTACATATTAATGTGAAACTATTAAATATAAATATGTAAAACAAATTAAATTAACCCCGGTTTATTTTGTCTCTCTTCCAACTGTGCTTTCCAAGTCTCAAAAATATCTTCGTCATCTTTTTTCTTATTACATGTGCATTCCTTGTTACTATTTAAATTCGACTGATACACAGCTGCTGTTACAGGCTTTGGAAATAGAGCTGGGGCCAGCTTCCTTGGTGGTGCCATGTTCATTTGTAAAGTATGTGTGACATCATAACTATAACTATAGTAGAAGTTAGTAGACAAATCTATTGCTAAGAACATCTTGACGTATCTCTGCTCATCCGGATGCAGGGGCCTACTGCTATCATTTGGTATATATATCATTGCAGTGTCCTCTATCTTGTATATGGAATGTGATCCTATCACAGCAATTTTACCTCTTTTTGTCACTAATATAATGTAGTATCCTTCCAAAAATCTTATAAAACCTGTAAATTTATATTTTGTACTATCCATTCAGATTATTCAAATGTTTTATGTTTTTTATCAATAAAAATAACAATAGTTGAGGCTTGCATATTTTAAACTTACCTACTATACCAAAAGCCGACACAAGTTTATTAAAACCTGAAGATCTGCCGCTCCTGTTGCCAAAGCCGATCATGTTTAATAGATGGTGGATCTCCTGCTTATTGTACTCTACCTTATCATCAACGAGAACCAACTCTTTTGAAACGGTACGATCTATTTTGAGGACGCGGAATCTGGTCTGTGTATTATTTGAGCCTATGAGATAGAACCGCTGAAAATACATTAATTAGAATATTAATTATTTTTAAACTTTGTATCTAAAATAATTGACAAAACAATAAAAGTTACACAGGGATGTTTTAGTATTTACATACCGTTTTAGTTTCATAAAGAGCTATTCTTTGAATAGAACTAATTATTGGGTGAAACAAAAGATTTTGTTGCGACATAATGGAAAATATATTTAAAGCTAGTAAATATAAATATTCTTTTATACTTTTACAGTATAGAAAAATCAAAAAAGTAAAAACATTACTGGATGGTTTTTATATGAAAATGTTGATATTGTGACAATATACAAAGTGACAGATGACATTTCCGAAAAAAACAAAAGATTTTGTTAAATCGCGGATTTCAATGAAATAATAAATTTTTATATTAGAAATTTTTTCTGATTTATGATTATAATCAATGAAGACATAGAATACTAATAAATAGGTACCATGGTTTAAGCCTGTAGAAAGGTACTAATCGAGAGAGGAAAAAAGAATTTTTTTTTTAATGGTCTCAGAAATACCAAAGTTCTTAAAATTTAGTTGAAATCTTGTTCATTCCCCAATCTCTAGTAATTAATTTCTTGAAATATTCTTTTTATTTATATCGATTTCTAAATTAAAATTATTATGTTAACTATAAAATTCTAACAAGATGATTATTATTACTCATAATAAACTGTTAAATCATTTAATAAACAGATATATTATCATTTAATATCAGATTTTTACATACTTATTTTATGTAAAAATCTAATCAAGACATTTGTCATTGATGACAGTTTATCAGTTTTGTGTCAGTAGAAGTAGGTGTCGTTTTGCGTGAAATCTAATTAGAAGATATTCATCAACAACTATTCGATAGGGGGCGGATGTTGAAAAAGCGCCGTTAGATTGTGAGAGCCACCATGGCTATGTCTAAAGGGTTTAAGGTTTTAGAGAAATCTTCACCACCTAATCCGTATAGTATTATCCTACAACACAGAAATAAAGACACCGCATTATTATTCGAATCTCAAGCTGTTGTTGCACTGTCTTCACAAGAAACAGAAACTTTACGGAAGCAGTATCATAAAATTGCTGATGCGTATGGATGTTTAGGAGTTTTACAACTTAATTCTGGTGAAAGTTGCTTGCTGTACCTCGTTCTCGTGACGGGTTGCTGTTCGGTTGGTAAGGTAGGTGATGTAGAGGTCTTCAAAATCACCCAAACACAATTTCTACCACTTTTCTATCAATCTCAAGGAGAAGATAAAGTCTCAGAGGTGAGAAAATTACTTAATTCAGGAACTTTCTACTTTTCTTGGAATGCTAGTAAAAATAATGAAAACTTATTTGATCTAACACTATGTGCTCAAAGGAAAAGTAAAGGAGGCAGTCCAGACAATAGATTTTTCTGGAATAGAACATTGTTTATCCATTTGATAAGATATGGAATAGATTGCGATGACTGGCTCACTAGGGCTATGTGTGGTTCAGTCGAGATAAGAACTATATATGTTGGACATCGTCAAGCGAGAGCTGTATTAGTGTCTAGACTTAGTTGTGAGAGAGCTGGAACAAGATTTAATGTCCGAGGGTGCAATGATGATGGAAATGTTGCAAATTTTGTGGAAACAGAGCAGGCAATATATATTGATGATTCTGTAGCATCTTACATTCAAACGAGGGGATCAGTCCCTTTGTTTTGGGAACAACCGGGTATACAAGTGGGATCACACAAAGTTAAAATGTCAAGGGGATATGATGCATCAACAAGTGGTTGCGAAAGACACTTCTCTCAGCTCCAAAGGAACTATGGTTCTATTGTTGTCGTAAACCTACTTGGTTCAAGTTTGATTGGAGGAAGCGAGGGGGAGGCTACTCTGAGTAATGCATTTCAAAGACATCTTAATGAATCTGCCCAAACCGACATTGTACAGATAATTTTTGATTATCATCAAGAAGTGAGAGCTGCTTCTATAGAAACTGCTTTGGCGAAATTTAAGAAGATAATAGAAAAGTGCTATGACAGCATCAGTATTTTTAGTGCTAAGGGTAATGATATATACAATGTTCAAAAAGGTGTTATAAGAACTAATTGTTTGGATTGCTTGGACAGAACTAATTCTATACAAACTTTTATTGGCCTGGAAATGCTTGCTATACAGCTAATGTTATTACAGTGTATTGACAAAAAGCAGAATGTAAATCGATTTGAAGAAGTTTTCAAGCAGATGTGGGTAAATAATGGTAATGAAGTGTCTAAAATATATGCTGGGACTGGTGCAATTCAAGGTGGCTCAAAACTAATAGATGGAGCGAGGTCTGCTGCTCGGACCATACAAAACAACTTACTTGACAACTCTAAACAAGAAGCTATTGATATATTGCTTTTAGGCTCCACACTGAATTCAGAGCTTGCAGATCGAACAAGAATACTATTACCATCAAATATTCTACATACTTCAACACCAGTTTTAAGAGAAATGTGCAGGAGATCCAGTGAATTTACACAGCCTTCCAGTATCCGTATAACCATTGGTACATATAATGTTAATGGTGGCAAACATTTTAGAAGTTTAGCTTATAAAGACGTATCACTCGCCGACTGGTTATTAGACTCACCAAATTCAGCATTAATCAACACTGTTAACTTAAAAGATCACCCATCAGACATTTTTGCTATTGGCTTCCAAGAAATTGTTGATCTTAATGCTAGTAACATCATGGCAGCAAGCTCAGAACATGCAAGGGCGTGGAGTGAAGAACTTGAGAAAATATTATGTAGAGATGCCTCATACACTCTTCTGTCTAGTCATCAACTGGTTGGAGTTTGTCTATTTGTTTTTGCTAGAAAAGATTTAATTCCACATATAAGAGATGTTGCTCTCGATTCTGTTAAAACTGGCCTCGGTGGAGCTACAGGAAACAAAGGCGCAGTAGCAATTCGTTTGGTTATTTACGGAACCTCTTTGTGTTTCGTTTGTGCTCATTTCGCTGCAGGTCAATCCCAAGTTACGGAACGAAATGCCGATTACACTGAAATCACTAGGAAAATTGCGTTTCCAATGGGAAGATCACTTTATTCCCATGATTACGTGTTTTGGTGTGGTGATTTTAATTATCGTATTGATTTAGATAAAGAAGAAACTCGATTATTGGCATCTCAAAATAATATACAAAGGCTTCTAGATCAAGACCAACTATTACGCCAGAAATCACAGGATCTAGTGTTCAAGAACTGTTTTGAAGGAGAAATTACATTCTTACCAACTTATAAATATGATTTATTTAGCGACGATTACGATACGAGTGAAAAATGTAGAGCCCCGGCCTGGACTGACAGAGTCCTTTGGAGAAGTAGGAAACATACGATCGATCCCGAAAATACTTCTGAACTGGCTGCTGGAATATTATTGCATTATGGCCGAGCTGAATTAAAGCAGAGCGACCATCGACCAGTTATTGCAATTTTAGAGGTAGAAGTTCTACAAGTGAGTTACACTAGATGTATGGAAGTTTTCTATGAAGTTGTAAAAGACCTTGGCCCTCCCGACGCCAGTATTATTGTAAAACCAATGGAGGAAATAGACAGCGAAGATTCCATTTTCGATGATAATATTATGGCAGGCGTTTTACAAGAATTGTCAACAATTGGTGAAGTGACATTAGTACGTTTTGTTGACGACCATACTTTGAGTATAACTTTTAGAGATGGCCAGCATGCGTTAGCTGCGTCACAGAAAGGATACATTAACATCGGTGACATTCAATTGACCGTGTCACTTAAGTCTCCTAATTGGCTGGATATTGTAAAGGCCGAGGTTAATTTGTGTTCGAATAACACGATTCCGCTATTCGGTGAAGTTCCCGTCGATCGTCCTTTACGGTCAGCTCCGCCGACGCCTCGGAGACAGCAGCCAAGTCGACCTCCGGCTCCATCACCCACGCCTCTTGTACCTTCGAGGGCACCAACTGGACCAGCCCGCCCGCCACCTCCCAGGCCGGCTCCTATTCCTCAAGACGCAGGGATTGTCTCCCAGCCAAGTTTATCGTCACCTCCAGCCGACAGCCTCCCCCCACCAACATGTGCTCCTCCCCCTCCTCCTTCTAATACTCCACCCCCCACAGGTCATCCCCCTCCAGTGCCAGCTCGACAGGGTGCGCCACCACCACTACCAGCGCGCCCAAGGCCAGTTATTTAAGTTCCAAAACTGAGTACTTAAAGAAAATTGATAAACAAAGATAACACTATCGAAGCCATTTGATTATAATTCCTTTTCTTGCATTTATCATTGAAAAACTTAGGTTTTCAATCGCCCTTAGTAATTAACAACATATGAAGCTTAGTATTCATTTTTGACGGGGATTTTTATTGGCTGTGATTATAAAAAACATCGGCGACGGTTTATTTTTAATATTTTGTTCATTCATAGTTATTTATGGTTGGATAAAAAAGTTATGAGCCTATTAAGCTCATTAACTTAGCCTGTAAATGTATACATACATATATACCAATGTATTAAGATTCCCATACAAGTTTTTCACTTGCTATGTATTGGTTACTTCCTATTTTATCAATCTAGAAGTTTAAAACTGTCTTCAGCTGCCTTCTTGATTTAGTCTGTCATTATAGAAATTTTTGTTTTTATAATAAACTTGCATAATTAGTCCTGTAGGACATAATAAATTATAATATATATATTTTTAGATCGACGTCAACATCTCCTTAAACTATATTTATTTATTGTTGTTGATCTCAATATGTATCCCTTTATATCATTAAGGTATTTTTTTTATATAATTTAAAGGTTTTTTTGCTATTTACTAATGGGTTCCTATTTTTTTTTTACTTTTTTATTATATAGTCTTGTACTTTTATTGTTTGTCTGTTACAAACATTCTGAACAAAACCGGACGTATTTTTAAGACAATGAACAAATAAATATGTATAACTTATATATTAGATAATTTTTGATGCTACGTTTAAAATGTATGATCAATGACAAAAATGCTTTATGTAGAAGATCTATAAAAAATCTTGTTAAAATAATTATATTTTATAATAGGTTTAGTAGTAGGTATGTTTTGTTTTTTGGTTCTTTATTTATAAAAGGAATATTGCAAGTTAACTCATATTTATTCAAAATTGTAACTCAATAATATTGTATTGACTTAGTCATATATTTCAGCAATAAAATACAAAGATATAAAAAATGTATTTACAAGAAAGTGATAAATAATATTGTTCGTATTTATTCTGAATGGTTCTTTAATTTTTGTAACAACGCCAAGCCCTCTAAGGAGAAAGATGATTGTTAGCATGTATTGTATTTCACGTGCATAGCTAGTAGATACTACACACAAGCAGATATGTATAAAAATAGATAAAAATAATTCTGTTTACAACGAAAATCTAAATAATTTCACCTATAATACATACACCTGTACCTGATTTGTAGTTTCACAGCGTGTTTATCTCATGTTTTCTTGACTTGTTGTCATTTGGATATATGTATTGAAAATGTTTTTGCTGATACATGTTAATCATATAGAAGTAGTGCTTTAAAATTGTATCTGGAACTGTTTATGTCAATAGTAGTGATGTGGCCAGTGTATGGAATTAAAAAGAATAAATAAATAATGTTACATAATCTGTGTTTTTATACAAGTTAACACCAAGAAAATATAAAAGTTATACTTACACATTCTTTAATAATTATCAATCAAACAACTATTGCTTTTTTTAAAAACATCACTTTATGATATTCAGATATAACTCATATTTTGCTTTTTTTCAATGAACTACTAATTGAATTCCCTGCATAAACTAACTATAATAAAATAGTTTCTCATTTAACAATTATATATAATCTGTCTGCAAAATTAGAAAAGTCTTAATAAACACCTAGGTATTTCTTTTTATGGTAATACCAAATAAATACTATTAAATTTGGATTTAAACCTATATGTTTTGAGTACAATAACATAGATAGTTTCTAAGAAAGACCAAATATGGAAGCTTTTCATTTCCAAATGTAAATATTTATACATATAATAATAACAGGTCATCCAACTAGTATAGATAGATCAAATACATTGGACAAGAGTTATAATAACTAACACACATAATATATATGTATCCAATATTATAGCTTCATATATATTCGGATGAAAACGCCACACGTTCAACTTGAAGCTGATTTTTAACTGTCCTATTATCATATCAATGTATATTCTTATGAATATGTAACAGAGTGTATGTTATTACTTTGGATAAATTGCTCAAGAGGATTCTAGTTAAGGATTTTTATATATAAGGTAAACAATATATATAATTTATAATATTTATTTATCACTGCTATTATCGAGTAGCCATCTAATACATAACAGAAATTTATTGCTATTCACATAATTAGTTCTTGGGTACAGCGTGAGAGTAGATTGTGTGGGCGATACCACCCAAACCGACAACACAGAGGAGCATTGTGAAACGGTACAGCACCGCATCAAATGGACCTCCCTTCAAGAATACCGGCACATCATCCTCTTTCTGAAAATGAATTAATTTCACTTTAGTAAGACATGTGAGGTCATTCTATGTATTATATAAACAACTATCTTCTCAGTGCTGCTTGAATATCACAAATATTGTATAAATAGCCATAATATTTTGATTATTCTATATTAATTTAAATTATATACAAGTAGACAAAAATTCAGTATTTTTTGCAGGTTTTTGTATCATAACAAACATTATCCTATAACTAACTGTTATCAAAAATTGTCAGTTTATGTTGAAGAGTTATATTACCTGGAACTGAGCCTGGCGCTGCTTGATTTTGTCACTGAGAGGAGGGTAAGGGACGTTGGTGCCGGGCATCATACGCTTAGGGCCAGCGGGGCATGCTTGTTCAGTAACAGTGGACATATGAGACGTGTTGTATTGGATAACTGGAGCCTCCACCCGTTGCAAGGCAATTGGTGCCTAAGTTGATATAAATAATTATAATCCATTTTTTATACTTAAAATGATTGTTTGTTTATTCAATATATGTGTAAAGTAATAAATATAAATAAGATTATTGAATGTGGTGCTGTAATTGGAATCGAAAAAATTAGGCTATCTTTTAAAGTTTTTACTCACAACTGGAAATAGTGGGCTCTGCAGATGAGTAGAGGCGACAAGCCTGCCTGTAACTCGGCTCAGTTGATGGTACATGTTGAATTTCTTTAGTTTTACTGATATAAAACGCAAATGCAAATTCTACCTGTTACGAAACAAGTACTTTATCGAATTTTTGTTTCCGTTCAGAAATTTAACTTCAGATGTCTTGAAGTATTGCCATTTTATGTATCTTGATTCTTTTTCTAAACGTGAGTCTCAAATATGTAAACTTAAAATATATTATTAAAACTATTAACAAAAACAAATGTTTTTTCCTTTATATTCGCAATTACAACGTATTAATTTTAAAAACTTTAACGAAACAGAATTAGGCTTAAATTTAACTCTCTTTGGACATTTCAGTAACATATTATTTTTTTTACATTGAATTGTATGAAATTATCCAATGAAAGTTTTATTAATAGATTTTTGTAAATATTCATCTAAATAAGAATTACGACGCCAGATATTAAGAATATTCTTTTCTTATTCTATATTACGTATTTTTCCATTATCATAATAATTAATGATTATGCAATGGTAGTAACAAGAACATCCTTATACTATAAGTTATCCAATTCGCATATATAATATTTAAAGATTGTAATATATTGAATTTTCTTATAGTAATGTTAGGAATGTATTATGTATGTTTTTAGAAGATTCACCATGAATGGACCATAGTAATCAAATTATTGAAATACGTAAAAAAAGTTTTGAATGAAAATTACTAAAACAATAAAACTATTTCTTAATAAAATATATATATATTTTGCTGTTTGAAACTAAAAACTTATAAATATATTGTTTATGAAATTCGACAGATTATAATAGTGAGTGTTGTCTGTATTAATTTTGTCTATGGATCGATATGTTCAACCATCCTTTTTAACCAGTTAGACAGTTTGTTAAGCACATTTTTGGAAGGTTGGTTATTAAAATACGTTAATATTAATTATTCCTTTTTAAAAAACATGATTTTACATGTCGTATTGCATCAAATAATATTTAGAAAGAAATAGATTATAGCTTTACACGTTCATTTGTTTTATTCCATATTCAAAATCCGCGTGGCGTGTCATCTTGAAGTGTGTTAGCATTTGTTTCTTGGATCATTCTACAACTTGAAGTCAATCAAAATTGTAATTTTTTAAGTTTCTCTTTCTTTTTAACAGAACCAAAATGCAGATTTTCGTTAAGACCCTAACGGGTAAAACCATTACCCTAGAGGTTGAGGCCTCTGACACCATCGAAAATGTAAAGGCCAAGATCCAAGACAAGGAAGGTATTCCACCAGATCAGCAGCGATTAATTTTCGCTGGAAAACAATTGGAAGATGGTCGTACCTTATCCGACTACAATATTCAAAAGGAATCTACCTTGCATCTTGTGTTGAGACTTAGAGGAGGTGAGCGGTTTTGGTAGTTGATAGTATTCTTTGTGGAGTAGTTATTTTTGTGAGTTCATTGCATTAACTTATAGAGTAATTTGTAACTGAACATAACCAAATTTCAGGTACCATTGAGCCTTCCCTTCGTATCTTGGCTATGAAATACAATTGCGAAAAAATGATTTGCCGCAAATGCTACGCTCGTCTCCACCCGCGTGCAACCAATTGCCGCAAGACCAAGTGTGGACATACAAACAACCTCCGCCCCAAGAAGAAGCTTAAGGATTAAATTGTTAATTACTCATTGACTTTGCACACCATCTGCTATTGCTTATTAATTTGTAAAAACAAATAAAAAGGGAAAAACTATAAGGTGTTGTTATTTCATATCTAGTCATAGAATTGTTTTATCGGAGAGTAATTTGTCAAGTATGCACTTTGAACTAATGCCAAGATCTTAAATTCCTGTGACTTAATATAGTTCACTGTTAATAGTATAATTTTATTTTAAAAGCAATTAAAGGTTGCTTGTGGATAAACAAAAGCAAGTTTTGTTTGGCTGGGAATTCAATAAAGATAAAAATAAAACTTAGGATTCACTTTTATTTTATATGAAAGGTTAGAAAATTAATAAATTTCTTAAAACAACAGTTACAAATAAAATATGCCATTAATACTAATAATGTTTAAACATCTTAGGACTAAGTAATTATAACAAAAATATGGCAAAATTGTAACAATAACACAATTACAACCATAGTGAGTATACTTCCATATAAAAATAGCAAATTTATTTATATTTTTAATATGTATTTGTTTTACATTTACAAGTAAATATTTCATGTATGTATCAAATTATTCTTATTTTTTTAAGAGGTAGTTTACAACCTAATATATATTATATATGAATAATATATATATCTTCTTCCTGGCAAACTCCCAGCTTTAGCCAGGGTCTACCTGAATAATATAAATGTAATGATAAAAATACTATGTTATTGGACGGCTCAGTTCACTTATAAATATTAACTGTAACATTTTACATATTAGACCATTCCAAAATGAACAACTTTGATTTTAGGCGGCTTTTGAACAGCATTTTCTGTAAAAGAAGAAATTCTTATTGACAATTTGGGTTAAATTTATTTTGTGCACATGTGCTGAAGTTTAATATGAATACAGGTGACCATAGCTGTATAGTGATAAAACTATCGTGCATAAGCAAGTCTGTGTAATAAATTATACATTTCTATTCATTTTGTTGTACGGCAGGCATTGATACAATGAGATATTAGTTAACAGATTATTCACTGGACATTCACTATCCTAAATTATTATGTTTACATACACACTTACAGCAATACACAAATAAGCGATATTACAAACTAAACAGTCATTACACCAAAACATGTGCATTAATCATGCAAGTGCATTTAGAAGGTGACCACTTTTTACTAGTATATTATTATTTTGTAATATCTTTGATATGTTATATTATGATTTTTATATAGTGTTTAAAAGTGATTTATAAGAAAGTGGTCACCCTACTGTCATCAAATTACACTTCAACGTAGTCGAGTGTACCGGAGGGGGCGAAGGCCGAGAGGTATTTGTGAGGAGGACACAGAGGTAGACTGGCGGCCAGTTCACGAGCTGGGTCCGGGACAGGAGGCTCCTGAAATAACATCCAAAAATACCAAGTTGAGTTTCCTAATAAGTAGTCTTCAACTATAATAAAGGAGCATTTTCATCTTTTCTACTCCTGACCATAGTCGCTACAAAATAAGGAAAGCGTCGCATAAAATGAGGAATAATAAAATACTCGAAGTAAATTAATACCATCATTGTAACCTATACATATAGTCGCGAAGAACTTAGTATCAAACTTCATTTATTGTTACTTCCCTATAACCACGATTGCATCATTACAAAAGGAGAAAAATAATGAATGTTTTCTATGGTAATTCGTATAGATTCACTCACAGAAACAACAGCTATGGTGACGGTATCCGAAAACTTGACTTTGTTCTTCTCAGGTTTAGCTTGCCCCGGCCAGTAATTCTCTTGGTATCTTCCGTTCACGCTACTCTTACTCTGTAAATATCTGTCTTTCATCTTAGCTTCCTCTTTAAGTTCAGTTTGGAATAAATGTTTGAAATGCGACGCTATTCTGTCGTCGTGCGACCTCTGTATGTCAGTTTGTTGGTTTTTATAACTAGATGTTGGGTTCCTTTGCACGCTTAGAACATCGTCTAGGCTATTCCATCTATTATTATTATTTATCTGTTGCACGTTCCTGTATGAACTCAGGATATATGAATCGTCTTTTATATCCTTCCCCCATATAGTGTTGTCTCTTTCTAAATACTGATGTAGGTTTGGTCGGATGCTGTTAGTAGTGTATTGTTCGTGTTGTGTTTTTGGCACTGTCAGTATTGATGGGTTTGAAGGCAAAGGGACGCGGGGCAGGGGAGGGGGCTTCGTTGGCACAGCTTTGGATGATGTGCTCGACCCATCGTCGGAACCGGAGTAAGAACTGCACTGAGAACACGAATCTGAACATTCTGAATCTGAAAAACAATAAATTTATTGAGAAATTAATGAAACAGTTTCGAAAATATGTACATTATTACAGGTCTATTGATAATTACAAGTCATACTCTTATTACTCTGATATAAGACATAAATATATCTGTAGTAGATAAATCTATTTGTAGTTGGTTTTTTGTTGTATAAACGAAGTCTTTCATGGTTGTTTGATCTGAATTATTTAAATTTTCATTTCGACGATTGGAAGTCACGTAAATGTCAGTCAAATATTCAGAAAATAATTGGAACTATAACTTAGGAATAATATAGGTAAAACATAGCCCTGGAGTGATGAATAGGCATATTTATACAACTCACCAGGGCGTTCCATTCTGGCGTAATGAGTAGCGCAAGAAGAAGCTTCCTCTACAAGATGCTGTAGTCCTTGACGCTTAGCGGCCCATCGCGCGTCGACGAATAGATCCCACGCAGCCAGGTCCACAGCTAGACTTAACGCTTTTTCGATGCGACCACGCCTTAATAGAAAGACGAACTTAATATAAAAGTAGTATAAAATGACAAATGTATAAGATGATGTAATATCACGATAGCCTTAATAGGTAGGGTTAAGCATTCGTATTTATTAGTATACTGCCGAATATCAAATGTTTATTAAAGTATGAAATGTTATAAAAATAATTATTACACATAAAGAATACAATTATCTTAACATTATCTTGCATATTTTCATACCTGAGCAAATGGTGAAAAAACTTCCTGGCCAAATCGTGTACGGCGGGCGCGTATTTTGACGCTGAGAGTGGTAGTGGATTCGTTGGTGCCAAATAAGCTCCTAACGCTATCTGGACACCGACTTCACCATTTTCCCCGAGACTTCCCTTCCTCAGAGCATTTCTCACTATATCACTCATAGCGTTGAGGCATTCTGAACCCTCTTCTTCCCAATCCATAGCCCTTAATAAAGCAACTGCGTTTGGGATGCGATTTGAACGGATATATGCCTGGAAAAATTAAAAAAAATACTGAAAAGGTATTACAATCATTTGTATTAATAGATTTGAATTTTTACCGTTATTAGCCTTGCATGAGTAATCCTCAGTATTGTTAAGGGTCCTCCATTGAATGAAGCCAGTATAAGCGGCCCACCTTTCATACCGTGCGTCGCTAATATTTGTACGCGCTTTGAAGTTCTGCAAAAAGAAATGTATCTTAAATATATTTACAATCATGTTTTTATATATTTGAAATATATATTGAATTGGGAATATGACTGTTCCAAATCTAAGAAGTGCTCGATTTGATGAACATTTATGGAATAAAATTTGAATTCACATAAATATTTTGCTATTGACTAGTGAGCAGTGATTTGGAGCGATTTTGTTTTAAACGTATATTCAATTACCTCATGTAAGCTGTCAGATCTAAACATTTTGTGTGATGGTGTAGTAATGTCAGCGCTCGGTCAAAGCATTGCAACCTCCCGGCTTCCTCAGTAGCTACTATCAGTTCGCCAGCCCATCTCACATCTGTAGCTATCTGAAAGACATGTTTATTTAAAAATAACTTTCATAACTCTATATGTAAGTAGAGATCCAAATATATATATAAAATGAATATTTTCGGATGTACAAAGGGTTTTAAACTAAATATTCCTGATGTTTCGGTTACTTTTCAGCAACTGTGATTACGGGCAGACGAGATGAATCGTTGGCGGTAGATTACAAATAAAATGAATAACAGACAGACATTTTTTAGTTACCAAACTAGTAAAATAGTATATAGGATCATTGCGAAAGTCTTAGATATCATGATCCATAATTATTTTAGAGTTTAAAACTAACTAAAAATAATATGTCTCAATTAGAACTATAATAAGACTTTTCGTTTTGTATTCGATCCCTTAGCGACCTACGAGGTCAGAGGTTGCCAGATCCATAGCCTAGTGAATGAATTGAAAATGGTGGACTTTTTTCACTGTGGGTGTTCAAATTACGTCACAATCCGTCAGATTTAATCATTATGTTGTTCTCCTATACCATGGGGTGTATTATGCATTATTCTTATCTTTTCCGAAGGGAGAAGCCAAGAATACTATTGGGAAAACACTACAAAGACAATATACAAATAAATTACCAAATCTTAACATATCAGGCTCAACATAAAAATATTTATATAATAAAACACTCACAAATCCTGCTCTAACTGTATGTGTGAGTCCAGTAGTATGTAGGATGTGTATAGAGGCATCGATGCAGGCAACAACTAGTCTAGCATCGCAGGGAGAGCGGCGCGCGACACGGGCGGGCGCGGGCAGGGACGCGCGTGACACAGTTGACACTCCTGACACAGTTGACACACCTGACACTTCTGACACTCCTGACACACGGTCACGTAACGACGAGAGCTTCACGGCGCGCGGAGAAGGGGGGAGGTCGTAACGAACCCATGACAGAGTTACGCCGTTCTGAAATTGAGATCAAATTAAAAACACCTTGAGAAATTGTTTTTAAGCTATTGTCTGTACATTCTATTCATTATATGTGTAAAAGTTTAATATCAAAAAATAGGTCCACATGGATTTAAGAACTTGATAAAGAATAATATTTAAGATTAAAAGTAATATAACTTTAAAATAAATGGATATTGCAAAAGACTGGTAAAGATAAATTTGCAAACATTAGCGCCATCTGTTATCTGTTTAAATAAATTCTGATTCTTGTTTTAATTTTTTTTAGTAAACATTAATATTCTTTTATAAATATCCATCTATTCATACAAACTTTCCCTATTATTAGGCTTGTAGGATTAGTACTAATATGATTAAAAGATTTTTACCTTATGACAGGCAGTTTGGTCCACAATGTGTATAATATTATCACTTCTATGAGATAGTTCCGCTAGCAACACTTCATTCTCAATCTGATGGTACGCCAGAAGTGTGAACTGTTGACTGAAATGATAAAATTGAATTATCAATTTAACCATTTTATTAACTGTACAAAAAAATCTACTAAACTCTAAAGTGGTAAAACTTTTTAACTGATTATCTTCAGAGATCTGATGAGAGTTTCAGACTTTTCCATTTGTACAGATGATAAATAAGCACTCAATATCTAGCAAGTCTTGCTTCTAGACCTTAGAAGTCTATTTGTTGCAGAACAAAACTGACAAATATGTTTATTGTAAAATAACACTTTCTAGCATGGAATAAGATTCATATTATTTTGAAATAATCACACCTCTTAGTGGAGATTTTAATGAATTGTTTTATTTTATCAATAGAATCGGATTATCAACCTGTTTTTAGAATGAGTTGAATATATTTGTTGTTATAGTTGAATATATAACTTTTATTTCCATTTCTTCAGCTAATTTAGAGTGTTAAACATAACACATACTCAATTTTGTTTCAACCATCAAAATAAATATCTTTTATTTACAACTGTGGCCTTGGAGGCGATATGCATACCTGGTAACTTGGTATAGATGCAAGTTAGCATGGTCTTCAATAATAGGGCTCCAGGGCGCTGGTTCAGCGACAGCGGCGCCCCACACTAGCAGACGGACATTATCACTTTCACACCAGGACACATGGCGTTCAGTCCTGCGGCCACTCCCACCTAGCTCTATAGACTGTACCAATAAAGAAATATAATAAAATTAATTAATCATCATTCAGTTGTATGTTATATATAACTTTGAAAATAAAATTTACCATATAATGGAATTTTTGGACTGTATATTTAAAAAATTACATATGAATTTTCTGAACACTGATAAATGCTTATATTTATTTATATATTTTTAAATAATGTATACATGTTAGTCATATATTCTCTTAACATTACATAAAGTCATACAAGATCCAACAGAATAAATTTAATTGAGTTTTACATAAATAAATTAGTTTTAAGTATATTATGTTGCTCACTCAACATAAGATATTAAGATAAAGCGTTTTATAAAATTAAACTTTAGAGAATATTTTAATTCTAATTAATTAATAAGTAGGTCACCTGTAAATGTGGATCTCTATCGGATATTTGACAAGGTGTGTTATTATCAACACACTTTCCAAATGTTATTAATGTTGCAGTTTTATCTGTGTGTGTTAGAAATAAGAGTGATTTGCAGAATGCAACTGAAAACAAGAAACATTAAAAGCAGTCATTGTATGTATTATTAAATTGGAAAAAAATCTATAAATTCTGCATATAATACATACCACCGGTAACTGTTGAACCGCTGAGTCTTCCAACACAGTATCGATCAAATAATATGTGTGTTATATCTAATGTACTTGATTTAACAGTTATATAGGCTATGACACCAGATGAAAACACTAATGTTATGCAATTATCACTCGTCCATTGACTGAAAACTATATTGGTGTCGTGAATTTTTGATTCCAACTGGCGAAGTTGTCTCGGTCTTGGTGACTGCCAGTATCCACCGCGTCGCTGTAGATAATTACGTTTACCAACATCATATACTGACTCTTCCAATTTCTTTTTCGTTTCATACCTAAATATATAGAAATCATGTAAAATTATACTTTTATATTGTTTGCCGCTTGGCATAATTTTCAAAAACTTACTTGAAACTCCTTAAATCATTGTTTTTTATATAGACAGATTCTTCGTTGGTTAAAAACTTTACATCGTAACTAAACATGGTCATAACTTAAATTTAAAATTGTTGACATAAAACAAAATCATTTTCCACTTCGTACATTTACAGTTAAATATAATTTACGAGGCATGATGATTTGTTTTGCTTTCTCTGCCTAACACTTGTAATGTCAAACTTCAAAGTCATATCAATTCACTGAAGTATTTGATAGCTAGTGCTGTTTAAAAAATCGGTGTAATAACGATGTAGCTTTCAAATTTAAGTCAAATTTTAAAATAAGATAATTAATCAGTTTTAGTATGTACCTAACAGTAGATTTGCGTGCTTAGGTTATATTTATTGTATTATTGTATAACTGATTCAAAGATGAACACTTGCTTAAGATGACAAGTTTTAATATTTTTTCGGTTAACGATCGGCAATAATTTTTAAATTAAAAATTATGTGATTAAAATAATCTTTGGATGGATTTTGTAAGAAAATTATTTTGCTATCTTTTTACTACGTAAAAATAAAGCATAGTTCCCATTTATATATTAAAACTTAATATTTTTTGCTTTATTTAGAGTTAATAACTCTTTTACTTATATGGCTTTTGAAATATGAAGTTTTTCATTGGATTTTTATTTTTCTTAAAAAATGATGATCTGTAGAGTGATATGTTGGAGGAGTCCAACTAAATTAATTTTTTTAATTACTTATGTGAAACATCCTATCACTTAGTCAGTAATTATAAGTGATATATAATAACATATTTTTATCGAATAGCTAAATATATCTTAATAGTATAAGAAAAAGCCATTACGACCATACACAGGAGACAACCTTTTTTCATGCATCAATAAGTAATTTTGGTGAATGAAATAAAAAATAGAACGTGTGTTTTACACAGTAGTGTTTGAAAAAAATGTCTTTTTAATGTGAAATCGTGTAAGTTAGATAAGTAAGTATTAACTTACTTATCTAACTTTAGCCTAAATTCAATATATTGTTATTGAAGGGCATTAGCCTAAATTCAATATATTGTCATTAAAATGTAAAATAAACATTTATAAAAATATGGTTTAAATTTACCTTTTTTTGGCCCTGTTACTAGTTTCAAAGCATGCTCTTGGAGGGTAAATAGTGTAGTAATTTTGGGGCTGTCAAAAATATCTTCTTTTCTGAAATGATTTCACAATAGGAAACTCTATATTTTTTCATTACCCTACATGTACTAATAGATGAACGATTTGGATGGGACTGTATTTATTAAAACACTGACTGATAATGCCTTCTAATATAAATAAATCTGAATAATTAATTACATGTTTGTATTTATGCAATAGACGTGTGCAATTCATTACAGTATACAAATAAAAAATATTTCTTGGCAAATAGACCATCTGAGAAGTAGTTTACGATACCAAATTAGAGTAACATTTAAGGGAAAAGTGTATACAAAACCGTAGTTAATGGACTATAAACGATTGTTGGCCGGCAAGCGACTATTAAACTGCCTTTGCTCTTCATTGTAAATGCACTTTATTGTAAATAGCATAGTTTTGTTACAATAATTATTTGACGAGAGTTAGACTAGTCGATAAGAAAAAGTAATTTTTTTCAATAATAATCTTTTGCGACGGACTTTTGAAAGAATATTTACTGAAATAGGATTGTAAGCAATCGCAAAGAAACGTGACAAATCCATTTAGATCTTTAGATAAGCTAAACGTTCAGGTTGATTAGTAATTCGGCCGAAATTTGAATTACGACATTCAAAATTTGAGTTAGAGTTTATAGGATTTGAGAAATCGACAAGGACTAAGTTAAAGCTACTGGCTTATTCTCTAACTATGCCAGTGTTTGTAAAGTGGCAAGGAGGCAAAATTAAATATCAAAAAAGAAATACTCCTAGATAGCAGCTTTAAGCACTTAAAACAAAATTGCTAGGATCAACATCACCAGCAAAACTGGACACTTTAGGATTGGGCAGAAATAAAATAAGAATTGTTTCGTATAATATTAAGGTTGCTTTGTTGATAACATTGCATTTTATATTTAAATTTTAATTTACATTACATTTTTTAAATTTCAATTGACAAAGCAAATGACGATTTTTTTTTTCGTAGTAAAATGACAAAATGTTTTATTAATAAGTAAATAAATTATATAAAAAAGCGAAAAACTCTTCAAACCTTGATTGTAAAATGAATTAAGAGTTATTAAATTTGCTTTTGAAGTTTAAAAATATCATATAACAAAATAAGTGTAAAAGCCTATAATGTCAATTAAAAAATCCTACTCTAGTAAGTTTTTATTTCAGTAGTAAGTATTTTTATTTAAAAAAGATATAAAAACGGGCTTTTCATTCTGCTAATTGGTAAAAAGAAGACTGAGTTTTATTACCAATTATACAGAAAGGTAATTGAATACTTTAGCGTGAGTTAACGACTTTTTGATATCTTGAAGCTCTTCGATAATTATTGTTGTAAGTGTAGAAAAACTATTATCGTTTTAAATAAGTTACGCGTAGAATGACATGAGGTACCACATTACGATTGTAGAATTTTTTTGCGTTATATTATCTAGTACTTTGTTATGTTTGACAATTTCAATGTCATTTATGGTTTGATACTTGTACTGTCATCTAGAATTGTAAACTGTTGTCTTTGGTACATATATGAAAAAACTAGGTTTAAAGTTTTTAAGTTAAAGATTTCTTTTAAAGTTGCAAATTTGTGGTGAGGCTGCTTATTGTTTGGAAGACTTTTTCTATCTATCTATATTCTATCTATCTATATCTCATCTCTTATTTTAAGAAGTCCAATAAAGCAGTCCCCTTACGACATCTTGTTATTTCAAATTATCATAGACAGTTTCCACTTTCTCATTTATAGCCTACTGTTATATGAACATGTTTAAACATTTATGAATCGGACATAGACTTGTTTCGTATACGTGGCGTTATCAACCTGTCGCTAGGTACAGACGATATTTCCACGCAAAACAATGGCGAAATCTATGAGAAAAGCGAAAAGAAATAACTCAAAGAATAGAAAAAAATATATATGGTAGGCGAATCAATCAAACACTTCCATTTTTAAAAACTACAGCTAGATAAACCATTTTTAAATATATTTCTTTTATATTATTATAACCAGTTTTTTACTATCTAGATAACGAGTCTGGATATTGCATGTATGTATAGCAATAACAATTTTTGTCTCGGATCTAAGGTTAAGTACTTCGATTTCTATACTCTCATTTAATCTAAAGTAGGGTTCGGATAAGACAAAATAAATTTAATAAATGTTGGTAATAATAGCCGTCATCTGGTGTTCGCGATGTTGCCATTAAGACGCTCGAGTCGTTACATTTCTGTTTCTGCTTTCAGGTACATTTGCTTTTGTAAGGAACTTTAATTACATATTTTATGTTAATTGTTTTATGATAATTTTATTGTTTATTATATTTTTTTCTTTCATGTTGATCCTGGTATGCTCTACAATACAAATGTCAACTGATTGATGTGATATATGTAAATATTTATTTATGTTTTATTCTATAAATATATTTTAGGAGTTTTGGTCATCTTTGTGAACATTTTGGATAAAATATTGTATAAGTAATGTTATTTCCTTAATTTTAGTATGCAAATGATGTATTGTGATAATAATATTCTTTAATAAATACTTATAAGTTTGTTGCAATGTTGCCAATAACCAATATCTAGTTACTTAAACCACAAACAGCTTAATTCTTGATACCCAAATTGTAAAATCTGGAAGTTACTGAGGCAAAAAATCCTATTAAACGCCAACTGTATTTATAGGAAAACACTTTTGTTCTTTTTGTCTTCACGTATAGCAGATAACGAAGTTCTAGAGATAAAAGTAATGCAAATTCTCACTCTGAAATAAAAAAAAAAACACTCATTAAAATAGTATAATAACTATAAAAAAAAAAAATAGCTTTTATAACACGTATTATACGAATTTTATTTAAAAGTAATTATTTAAAAAGGAACGGTGTCTCATAACAGAATACTAGTAAATACTTTATATAATTATATTAATTGCTTTATTTAATCTGTAATACTTCCTGTTATTATTTAATTATAATGTTCAAGGTACACTTAAAATTATCACTTCTAAGAACTCTGGCAGGAAGCAAAACTTTCTTTAATCTCTAGACGTCTTACAATTCACTGACCATTCTGTGTTCTAACTTTTAGTTTACATTACATTAGGTAGTGAGTTTTTTACATCCTCTTCAAATTATCTTTGTAATTAAGAAGTCTTATTTAAGTTAGTGATGTTTAAGTATCTAGTGTTAATTTATGTAGATTTTTTACATTACGTACCTACCTATTCCATGGCATTTACATATACATATATGATCTGCAATTTACGATCTTCGAAATTGTGTTCATAAGTGAACATAATTTTGAATTTTATGAAATTGACAAATAATGTAGAATATTTAACTTATCGTTACTTTTTAAAAGTAACGTCTTTATTTGTCTGCAATTTGTCCAATAAAGAAAATGTTCAATTTGGAAAAGCATGCTTTTTGTGAAACAATTTTACCCCTTGACCTATTTTATAAGTTTTATTTAATTTTATTATGTACGATTTATGTGTGAAAAAATTCATATTACTAAATAAGTTAAATTTACAATCTAGAACTCCTTTCGTCTTCATAGAGCATATTTTTTCAAGAAATCGTTAAATTTTGTTACATGGTTACTCCTTACCACCACGCTCCCCACCAATTCCTTTTGCATGACTCGTTAAAATTTCACTCTAATGCTTACACAGCGTTTTTCATCTTAAGTGCAAATACGGAATAATCTTCAAACCAAAATTTTACCAGGACACTATAATATGTCCTTTTAGGATCGTTAAAAATGAAGATTTCCACACTTTATTTTACTAACAACTTGGAATGAGGAGGACTATTAAAAGTAATTAAAAAGAATATCAAATGATAAATCTACATTTAAAATTGTTAAATATATCTTGCTCTTATTGTTAAACTGAATTGCGAACATGTGTTTAAATCTA